GACTCTGTGCCTGACCCACGGACTCTGTGCCTGACTTACGGACTCTGTGCCTGACCCACGGACTCTGCGCCTGACCCACGGACTCTGCGCCTGACCCACGGACTCTGCGCCTGACCTACGGACTCTGTGCCTGACCTACGGACTCTGCGCCTGACCCACGGACTCTGCGCCTGACTTATGAAAATAACTTCTGTGTGCTTCACTTTTTTTTTTTTTGGTCGGTCATGGGGCCCGAACTCTGGGCCTGGGCGCTGTCCCTCAGCTCTTCAGCTCAAGGCTAGTGCTCTACCACTTGAGCCACAGTGCTACTTCCAGTTTTCTCGTGATTTATTGGACATAAGAGTCTCCTGCCCGGGCTGGCTTTTAACCGTGATCCTCAGATCTCAGCCTCCTGAATAGCTAGGATTACAAGCGTAAGCCACCAGCACCTGGCTCATGTACTTTATCTTTATTATAACATTAAAATTTAAATTAAAAAGACTTGAATATGAAGCTAATCTCACTCATTTTTTAATAGGAAAGAAAAAAGATTTAGTGTGGATTTCTGAAAGAAGTGTGACTTACCAAAGCTGATGGAGAACACACAGTTTATCCTTAGCATAAAAATCCCCAGCGTGGTTTGGGGTAAATTTGCAAACTATAAATGTACCTGAATACAGCACATTTGTTCTGTATCATCAGCCCCGATTTGTGCTTTTAAAATGGCTTTATTAACAAAGGTGTAGTACTTGTTTTGTTTTTAATAGGGACGCCTCCCCCATCCTTTACCCTTCTGGAAAAGGTTCACAGCACAGTAAGATATGTCATTGCAGAATAATATCAGCATTGGTGTTAGCATGAGTGTGCTTCACAGTTCATATGTTCTGGTCATGTTTCCCTTCACTTACCTTTGCCTGCTTTTCAACAGCCGGACCAGAGCCCTACGGAGCTGGACGACAGGACTCCAGGCAGACTCCAGGCTGTCTGGCCCCCGCCCAGGACAAAGGACACAGAAGAGAAAGTGGGACTGAAGTATACGGAAGCAGGTAATGTGGATGGAAGCCAGGCACCCGGGAACCAGTCTCTTCCTGCGGTGGCCTCAACATGCAGAACTTGGGGTTTTGTTTCCTTATAAAATGTGATGCCGAAGGCCTCTTGTCATTTAGGTTTGCTGCTAGCCGATCTCTTGGGGGAGAAAGGCAACTGTGGGGGGATGAATGAAAGGGAGCATGTGTGTCAAGCAGGGAGCCTTTGGGGAATGATTGGAGCAGGTGGATTACAAATTCCCCAGGAAGCAGGTGGTTGGAGCTCATACAGTGTGCAAGCTGGTTGTGTTGCTGGAAGAGGCAGTGCGTGTGCTTCTGCAGAGCTGTAATCTGAGGTGTGCTGTTTGCCTCTGAGTAATGCTTCCAAGATAAAGGAGCCTTGTGCAGCGTGAACGTACAGATGGCCTATCAGTTACTTGCTTACTTTTGTGAGACAAAGCTTCGTTTAATGCATGTCCAATTTTAGAGCAATCGGACTCACTGGAAAACTTCCCAGGAGTTTTAGTTGAATCTGTTTAAATGGAATAGGACTCCAGACATTTTTAGTCTTTTAAGTCAAGATTCACATGAAACTGAACATCACTGTAGAATTAGAGATAGACATGGTTTAAGTGTGTGTGTGTGTGTGTGTGTGTGTGTGTCTATATGTCTGTCTGTGGTCTGTGTGTTTGTGTGTCTGGCAAAATCTCTTTCACAAAATCTCTTACCACATTCTTCCAAATATCTTTCTGGTATTTGGGCATTAGCTATTCCGTGAATCTAGGTACTAGCAGAACCTACAAAACAGCAGACACTTGAAGAGGTCTTTACTCTGCTACTTCCTTGTCTGTTTAAAATCTGTACTTAATAAGGTGGGAAACAAATTTATACAGGTCCCTTTGCTGAGTTTTCACTTAACTGAATTCTTATGACAGGAGGAAAAATTGGAGTGATAACACATCTGGACAGACTTGTCAAATACAGCGCTGACTTCTGTTGAGGTCCCAGCCAGCATTTAGAAGGGAAACTGATAATCTTCTAAAAGGGAGCCATTTACGATCCTTCCTTTGTCCCTTGGGCCAAAGAGACTTTGCAAATCCACGTTCCATTCTCCATGAAAAAAGATGCCATTCCTGACCTACCTCAGGCCGTGGGCTAAGCACCACATGTGTCACAAGTTTGTGTGGTTTTTTCCTATTTCTCCTTTGCCAGTTCCTTCCAGAGAGCCTTCCCTCAGCCCCCACACCATGCATGGCTTATCTTTTGTTGGTTGTCATGGGTAGGCATGTGTATTAAGACCAATTTATATAGTTGTCGAAAATACTTATTTTTGTAGGTAGATCAAAGTGTGTGTGCTTCTGTAGGTTTTGGTGCGATATTACATTTTCCCCATGGTTGAGAACAATCCCGTTGGCAGGTGATATTTTCTACCTTGTAGGTACACAGTTACACTCTTGCAGCTGACCCCGACACACGACCTCGCAGCATTTCATTCTCCTGTAGAGCATGGACAGTCTCATGTGCTAATGGCTACATGCAAAGCTGCTTCACTGTTTCTGTGCTTATGCAAGTTCCAAAACTGGAATGCCTCCTACCAGCACTGAGCTGCCCTCTAGATTTCCTTTCCATCGTCTGGCGCGGTGTGAGTGGTTGAATGAACCGATGAAAATGGAAGACAGTGAGCCCAGAATCCCCAGGCCCTCGCTCCCCATGTCTACTACACACTTTAGAACAGTGGCAGTCTTCTTTATAAAATGGGCCGTGCCAGCGTGAAGGAAATTAACGTTGTAAGACCTTTCGTGGCTCTGCTATTTGTAATACCCCATGGTATTTACCCCTCACAGTTGCTAAGTCTTTGTTTTCTGTCCTGTCACCTGATTTACCTGGGCTGTGTTTCCTCAGGCTTCTTTGATAGACTTGTGTTCTTAGAACTACTCCAGGTCTTACATGAGGGGAGAAGGAAGAGGGGAAGGGCTAAGGATGACAGTTGTGTAGGGAAGTCTCGGAGAGCACTGTTGCACAGTGAGGCGAGGTGGGCTGGTCAGGGCCAGGAAAGGTGGCCCGGCACCCTGGCAGCCTCCCGCAGGGGCCGTGGTGCTGCGTGTTGGGCACGCACTTGCTTGGGAGCTTCTTGAATACCCGCTTATCTGCTGGTATACTTTGAGAGAGGGGTTTCTGCAGAAGAATTAGACATGTGTGCCTGCAGGAGAGTAACTTTGGATCCACTCTATGCCTGTCCTGTCATTCACTGGTGATTTTGAGAGAATTTACTTTGTTGTTGTTGGTGGTGGTCGTGGAGCTTGAACTCTGGGCCTGAGTGCTGTCCCTGAGCTCTTCAGCTCAAGGTGAGCGCTCTACCACTTGGACCACAGCGCCACTTCTGGTTTTCTAGTGGTTAATTGGAGATAAGAGTCTCACGGACTTTCCTGCCTGGGCTGGCTTTGAACCGTGATCCTCAGATCCCAGCCCCCTGGGTAGCCAGGATGACAGGTGTGAGCCACTGGCGCCTGGCAAGAGTTAACTTTTCCCCTGTACTTTCCCTAGGCTCCATTGTTCAGTGAACTGAAGGCTAGTTTTCTGTGGAGCACATTTGTGGCGTCTCCATCGCCCTCCCTGACTGTGGGGAAACGGACAACACTTAGCTCTCTGCAGGGAGCACAGACAGAAACTAGGTCCGTGATAGTTCAAGGTAGCCAAAGTCTTATGCCTTTACCTTTTTAGTGTATTTCTTTTCCTAGGGTTTATTTTCATTAATCTACTGATACAAGAGATTAAGATTCAGTCACCGAGCCATACGTCTAACTCTGCTCTTTACTCATTTTTGTTGTTGTTTTGAGATAGGGTTTCACGTCTTGCCCAGGCTTACGTGTAGATTGAGATCCACCTGTTTTAGGCTTCCTGTGGCTGCTGCAATGACGAATGCCCGCCACCACACCCAGTTTCCCTCCATTAAGCCACAGTCCTCACAATCTCAGCCTTCCACGCAGCCTGGCACATGCCAGACTTAAGCTGCTGAACCAACTGTGGGCTGAGCGGAGGTCTTGTGAGCTTTTGGCTGTACTGATCTTGTTTTTATCTTCCCAAGTAGCTAAGATTATAAGCCTGAGCTCCTGTTTTTTACTTTATTTTTGGTAGTGCTGTGGTTTGATCTCAGGGCCTCATACTTGTTAGGCAGGTGCTTTACCTCCCGAGTCACACCCAAGGCCTTTTTTGTTACAGTATTTTTTGGGGGATACATTTTTATTTTTTGCCTGGGGCAGGCCTCAGGTGGCAATTCTGTTTATGACTCCTATGGGTTAGAGGCATGCAATACCACTTTCAACTTATTACAATGGGACCTCCCTAACATTTGCTCAGGCTGGCCTAGAACCACGGTCCTCCTGATCTCCTCCTTCACACATGGGATTTCATGAGTGCGCTCCCATGCTAGGCCTCTGCATCCCTGGAGTGCTCTCAGAGTCTGTGCTGGTGATAACGCGTAGTCCTGGGTGGAGCTGGGAAAACAGTGGTGTTTTCACGCTGAGGCCAGCCCTGCCCACACCTCACCCAGTCTGTACATTGCCCTCAGCCACCTTGGCTTTGCCGCGGCTTCAGTTCTCAGAACTTTAAGAGGTCACCTTGCACTACAGGGAACTGTTGCTAAGGGCAAGAAGTACAGGAGCCAGCGGGAGGGGCTGTCCCTTTAAAACTGAGTCCTCCTTGCTAACCACAATTGCTGGTGCCACTGCCAAGTGTGCTCTCCCCCGGCCGCCCCTGACACCGTGACCAGCTCCTGCAGTGTGCAAAGACATTTCAGCTACATGCCATTTAGACAGCCATTTACAGCTAAAGCCCTTGGCTCTGGCACCCTGAGTTCCCAGCCCGCCATTCGCGGCACCCTGACTGCCAGTCTCCAGGTCCTGAGGGTGGGTGAGGCGCTGGTTGGGAGAACCCAGGTTCCCACAGAGCTGCCCCTCGGAGGATGCCGAGTGTGCTTCGGTATGTGACTTGAACACTGACAGTAAAAGTGAAACATTTAGATATTACATACTGCTCAGTCTCCTTTTAATGGTTTTATTGTAAAAATACTGTATAGAGGGGTTACAGTTACATGAGTAAGGAATGAGTACGTTTCCTATCGAACATCGTTGCCTCCTCCATTGTTTTTCCCCTACCATCCCTACCCGCCCTACCTCCCCAACCCCTCCCCCCCAATTGTAAAGTTCGTTTTAACATAGCATCTTGTACATCTCATTGTTACAATGGTTCATCCTATATCCTTATTTCAGCATTTTGTTATTTCCCTTCCCCTCCCCAAATTAGAAAAATGTATATACAAGATGCAGGGCACCAGAATCAAATACAGTGAAAACAGGGGTTATACCATGGGGGAAGAACATACAAAAGAAACAGAAAACTCACATGGTACATTATAAGTACGTTAGAAATTATGTGGTCATATGTACATAGCTTTTGACCTTTTCTGTTTGTCCTAGACTTAAGGGAAACCATGGAATCTATGTTTCTTTGGGCCTGGCTTACTTCACGTAATATAATTTTTTCCAAGTCTTTCCCTTTCCTAACAAATGAGGTGATGTCATTTTTTTCTGATGGAGGCATACAATTCCATTGTGTATATATACCACATTTTCTTGATCCATTCATCTACTAAGGGGCATCTGGGTTGGTTCCATATCTTAGCTATGGTAAATAAGGCTGCAATAAACATGGTTGTGCTGGTAGCTTTGGTATGGCCTTGTTTGTGATCACTTGGGTAAATGCCTCAAAGTGGGATTGCTGGGTCATAGGGGAGCTCTATGTGGAGTCTTTTGAGGAACCTCCATACTACTTTCCAAAGTGGTTGAACAAATTTACACTCCCACCAACAATGCAGTAGGGTTCCCTTCTGTCCACATCCCCTCCAGCATCTGTTGTTATTAGATTTCTTGATTATAGCCATTCTAACTGGGGTGAGGTGGAATCTCAATGTTGTCTTGATTTGCATTTCTTTTTTTTTTTTGTCAGTCATGGGGCTTGAACTC